CAACCGCTTCTTCAACTCCTGAAAACTCTGTTCGCACTCCTCTGTCCACTCAAATGTAACGTCTTTCCTTGTCAACCTCGTGAGAGGTGCTGCTATCGAAGAGAACCCTTCCACAAATCGACGATAGTAACCTGCTAACCCCAGAAAACTCCGTACTTCCGTCACACTTGTGGGTTGTACCCAATTTACAATAGCCTCAACTTTCTGTGGGTCTACATAAATCCCTTCCGTTGAGATTACATGTCCAAGGAATACCACTCTATCCAGCCAAAACTGACACTTGCTAAATTTGGCATAAAGTTGTTTCCTCCTTAAAGCCCTCAATACCAACCTTAGATGCTTCTTATGTCATTCCAAAGTCTTAGAGTAAACCAAGATATCATCTATGAACACAATCACAAAGTGATCCAAGTATGGTCAGAACACTCTGTTCATGAGATCCATAAATGTTGCTGGAGCATTCGTCAGTCTGAACGGCATCACCAAAAATTCATAATGCCCATACCGCGTTCTGAATGCGGTCTTGGGGACATCCTCTTCTCTAATCCTCAACTGATGATATCCTGATCTCAGATCAATCTTAGAGAAATACTTGGCATCCTTCAACTGATCAAACAAATCATCAATCCGAGGCAAAGGATACCGGTTACGTACTGTCACCTTGTTTAACTGCCGATAATCAATACATAACCACATGGTCCCATCCTTCTTCCTTACAAACAACACCGGTGCACCCCATGGGGAAACACTAGGTCGGATGAATCTCATATCCACTAATTCCTGCAACTGAGTCTTCATCTCCCGGAGCTCAGCTGGTGTCATCCTATAAGGAGTTAGATAAATAGGATTGGTGCCCGGAAGAAGTTCAATAGTAAACTCGATTTCCGGTTTAGGAGGTAACCCAGGAAGATCATCTGGAAAGACATCAGGGAACTCACTAACAACGGGGATATCTTCCAGATTCAAGGTGATCTCTCGAGTGTCGATGATATGAGCTAAGAATCCTTCACACCCTTTCTTGAGTAACATCTTAGCTGTAATAGCAGAGATAAGGCAGGTAGGGAGAATTCTACGTTCTCCTCGAAAAATCACTTTGGGTTGTCCTGGATTCCGGAGTGTCACTTCCTTCCGGAAACAATCCACGGACACATGATGCTTCTCTAGCCAATCCATCCCCAAAATAATATCCAAGTCCATCAAATCTAAGGGAATCAAATCGGCTTCCAACCACGCATCGTCTACTTGGACATAACATTCTCTAAACACCCGGTCCGCATACAAGACTTCTCCCGTGGGTAGAGAAATACTAAAGCTTCCTGTCATAGGTGTTGGTCTCACACTGACATAAGGAATGAAGTTGTGTGCTACGAAAGAATGTGTGGCCCCCGGGTCAATTAAAACACGAGCAAGATAACCAAAAATAGGGATCATACCGATAATCACGTCTAGAGTGGCATGTGCCTCCTGCTGGGTCATAGAGAACACCCTAGTCTGAGTGGTAGACCGCCCAAGCTGACCCCTTGAATTTCTGTCACCTCTTCCCCCAGAAGATGACGGTGCCCTGCTACTGGAAGATCCTGCTGCAGAGGAAGTAGCACCACTCTGACTCTGATGCTGACCCATATTCCCCTGCCTCTACTGGGCTCCCGTCCCCTGCACTACTGTATCACTAGGGTAGATCAGTGGGCAGGTCCTCTTAGTATGCCCCGCCTGTCCACAAAAGTAGCATATTGGGTCGCTGCTCTGGCCTTATTTACCTCCTTCAGTGGAACTAGGGCAATCCTTCACAAAGTGCCCCACCTGCTCACAACTGTAGCATGTCAACCCAGTCTGCCTGGAGGGAGTCCTAGCTGTGCTAGATGCAGACTGCTGCTCTGAATATTAAGTCCATGCTGGACGAGAACCGGATCTCCCACTACCAGAACTGGATCCCCGTCCACCTGACCATCCACCACTAGCAGAGCTGGAATTAGATCCTCTTCTCTTGGATGGGCCCTGACTCGGACCACCCAATCCTTGCGCATCTCTGCGGCGCCTACCTATACCCATAGCACATCTCCTAGATACTCTGTCAGCAGCTTAAGCCAAAGCCCTCATCTTGGGATAAGTGTTGGCAGTGACCACGGCCTGAATCTCCCACCACAAACCGCCTTCAAAGCATCTGCACCGATCCTCTTCAGTAGCCACTAACTCTGGTGCAAACCTTGACAGCTCGTTAAACTTATGTTCATACTCTGCCACCGACATTGTTCCCTGCTTCAGATATAGGAATCCTGACTTCTTAGCATACCAGTAAGAAGGTGGATAAAATTGATCGGAGAAGACCCTCTGGAATTCCTCCCAAGTAATAGCAGCTGGATTCTCATAGCCCCTTTTTACAGCTTTCCATCAATGATAAGCATTCCCCTTAAGCAGAAAGGTAGCCAAACGGGCTCTATCTCCATCTGGGCACTCCAACACCTCAAAGATCCGCTCCACATCAGTAATCCAACACTCGGCCTCTGCTGGGTCTGGGCCACCCATGAACTCTTTTGCTCCAAGTTCCTTCACCCTTTTGATTTCAGAACTTTCTGTACTACGCCTCCCCCGCAAAGCTGTAGTCATCGTGCGTGTGAATTGGCTTAGCACGTGGTGCAAGTCCAAGGCATTATCTCCGGCAGGTGAAGATGGTGGAGGAGATGGAACTGGTGGCGAAGGAGGTGGTGACGGAGATGATGGTGGAGGATTTGGCCCCCATCTCTGACCACGACCTCGCATTCTTGCTCGGCAAGTTGACATGGTTCTACACAAAGAAACCATAAAATCATTAGATCAACAATGCAGCAAAAGTGCAAAAGTCGAAGGAAAAATGAACCTAATGCTCTGATACCAAGCTGACAGGACCCGCCCCAGAATTTCCCCTGAAACCGGGGCGGACCCCGTCTTGGTGCCGACATCTCCCCGATGCCGGGCCCACTTATTAAAACCCGAGACATCCTACCAAAATTTTGGTAGAGTCTCTCCTATAAAATGCTCAAACCCAACAACATTCAACCTGCATAATTTACATAATATAAATCCCAACTGCCAGCACGCTTTCAACATACAACAATCCAAAGTAAAGTGGCCTCCGGCCTCAAGTAACAACCTAACATGGGTGATAACAGAGCGTCTAACAGAATTTGTTTACAACAAACAGTTGAGTAGAAGGAATTTACACAAGTCCTATCTACGGATGGAACGATTTGAGCTCGTACACTGCTTGAACGCTTCCAAGAGCAACTACTGCCTAGGGGGCAGAAAACAGAAATATGTGAGTGGACAAAAATAAAGTTTGCATTTGAAACAACATAATAACCCCACCGTGTAAAAATAATGCTCTAGCATACAGTTTCACAATTCATAACCCAAATACTCAAAACACATAATCTCAAAGTCCAATAAATCTCCAAATCTCAAAACCACAACTCTACTCGCAAAGATATGCAACTCTCATCAACACATATACGCACATATATATATACATATAGCTATAATATAACATATACTTCTCTCCATATTAATGTACCAGGGAAACAATCCAACCGGGGGATTGTTTGGCTAGTACGCAGGATTTCCGAGCACTAACCCGCGTCCAGGGATGAGTAGTCCAACCGGGGGATGAAACTCCATAGCTCACATGCCGGCACTGCCAACGACACTTGTAGCTCACAAATCATATAACAAGTCCTACGCGCGCAGACAGTATCATTACCCCACCGGCACTGCCAACGACGTGTGTGATAATACTAAGCAATATACATACTATTCCCCTACGTCGGCACTGCCAACGACACGGATGGGAAGTGTCTCACACACCGGCACTGCCAACGACATGCCTGAGACCCACAATCTCATGGCCTTCCCACCCCACCGGCACTGCCAACGACGTGTGTGGGAAGCCTAGTAACTAGAGAATGGTACTCACCTAACATACTCATATATCTCCCAACCATCCCTCAAACTCATATCCTTCCACTACCTCACATCAACAACTCACATACTCTATACATAGGCAATATAGATAGACATCCCAAAATCCATATAAACATATCTATAATACTCAAATATAGCCATACCCAAAATATATTGCCAATACGTATAAGAATATCCAAATCCATCAACCAAATAATTATTAAATCATAATCACGATTTAAAATATATGCATAAATCTTTTATTAATAAAACCATGCATATGCTTAAAACAAAGTCCACTCACAGATAATCCCAAGCTGCTCGGCCCCGAAAGGGTCCTGCCTGCTGCGAATGATCGACCGAAGTACCTATTTTGAGATACGAACTCTTGATTAATATAACGCACTTCACAACAGAAATTCACAAAAGAGAATACTTAAATCCCCAAGTTCCTGGTGCGTGTACGTCCAATGGAATATCCTAAGGTCCGGTTATAGGTTTGGGAATCGCTTCCAATCGTACGGTTATCGCTAATCCCCAAACTTCAAATTATTGAATCGGAACATCCGGTGCTCCGATTCAAGATCCGCGAATTCCTATAGGTTTCTAAGAGTACCTAGATCAACATATTTCAATTTGGAAACGATCCAACGGTTAGAACCTATCGAACCTGGATAACGCACAATATGCGAAATCCGTTCGATAGTCAAACGACATCTAAATTAAGATCCGTAAAATCCTACACACTCGTGACAACCTAAGGATCTCATCAGGATAAAATGCAGCTCCACTACCCTTGCCCAAGCGCCGCCACACGCGCCGGCAGAGCATGGGTGTGTAGAGAAATTTACGGCGACGGAAAATCTCCAAATCACAAGTCACCCTTCCAATCCTAGATACTACTCGACAAATGAAGCATCTTCTTCAACTACCACAAGGTCCAATTCGTACGGGAACTGGCCGGAATTTCAAATTGAAAACCGGCTAAAACCTAGCTTTTCAAATCGGTTCCTAGACTACAAATTGATCAAAACGTATGCAACAGACAGCTAGAACTCGAAAAATGGATGAGAAACCTCACCTCACCCGTCGGAAATGGTGGTCGGAGGAGAGAGTTCGAGCGGCTGGAAGTTCCTGTCAAATCCTGCGATGTTTCTGCATTTTCCGGCGAAACTCAAGGGTTCCAGGAGCTGTGCTGGCCGGGGAAGAGAGAGGAGAAGGTGGTGGTTCGAATGGGACCGGTCTCGAGGGTTGAGGTGGCCGGACGTGATGGCTGTGAGGGTTTTTCTGGCTCGGTGAACAGTGAAACACCGGGGGGGGGAGTTCGAGCGCAGAGAGAGAATCGGGAGAGAGAGAGAGAAAGAGAGAAAGTGAGGGGTAAAAATTGAAAATCTGCTTTTTACTCAAACTTACTTTGAAATAATTACGGTAGCGCCACTGAACTTATTTTGATCGCCAAATCTTCGTTACAACTCCAATTTAAGCCTACCACATGTCTACGGTTTCATCTCAGTACCACCTATGCAACCAAACCACTCTGGTCCCGAAATCCTTCCGAATAAGAAAATGACCAAAATTACCCTTAACCCAAGGGTAAATTCATAATTTCTCTTAATTTAATTAAAATAGGAATAAATTGGAGTCGGGGTGTTACAGTCTGAATCCTTGAGTCAGACACTTGGACCTGCAAACAAAAACTCAAGTAAACAAAACACCTCTTCCAGCACCCTACACATATCAAAATTTCAAAGACTCAACCCCAATGCTCCCAAACTAGACCACAGCCACAAAAGATAATCAGACCACTCTTGCACAGCTCAACAAATTGCCGAACGGCAAGCCCCGTTCAGATCCAAAGGAGGACTCACAAATATTTTTAAACGCACCTTGCCAAAGCGGCAAGACCAGCATCAATTCCTCACCAGCTCCCTTGAAATTCCAAGCAGCCTAGCCTCCTTCCAAATTGGCGACGCCAGTCACTGTTGCAATCTAGTGTTTCGCAACAGACCTAGCTCCTGCCAAGGCTTCAATGACCCGAACCTCCGACACGGAGACCTTGCCGAACTTAACTCCTAGCAACCTGCACTAAGCTCACAAAGGTGAGGCCACAACAAAAATTACTCAACCCACCCTTGCCAAACGGCAAAGGTTGAGCACAGAAAAAGGAGGCTTCGCAGGGAACTTACCCGACCAAAGATGAAGGAGTCCGAAAATGTCTTCAAGATGCCCTTGCCGAACGGCAAGGGCTGTGCACCGGCTAAGGAGGTGACACTTCTTGCTATCCTCCTTCGAAATTAAACCTGGCTAAAGTTGCGACAGAAGCCGTGACAAACCTATCGCACACGTGTCGCACTCACGAAAATGGCTAATACTATGCGTTGCCGTTCGGCAAGGCTCAATCCACAGACTCAAGACTTTGCTAAAGAAACACTCGAATGGTGATAGGAGGTCACTGCCGAACGACAGCTTTTATACAAAAAGGACCTCACCCCTTACCAAACCCTAGCCCTCACATGTGCCGAAGCCCGGCTACTACAGCCCAGGTTCAAATAAGCCAAACCTTGCCGACATGCCCCCAGAGGCCCAGACCCCGAAATTCTCTTTCTTCCCAAACTTTGCTGAAGCTTAGCCTTTTCTCCTAGGCCCATCTTGTCCCTTGTCGAACGGCAAGGGCCATGCAAACTTTACTAGAAGCCTCAAGCTACCCTAAGCAATCCTTCTTTTTTATAAATAAATATAAATAAAAAATATAAAAAAATAAAAAAATAAAAAAAAGGGCTGGCCCTTGCCGAAGCCTAGCCCCAAGGAGAATTTTGCCGAAATCTCTATTAAGGCCCAGTTTTTTTGACCCCAGGTCTTTCCAAGAACCTAAATATACTACAAAGGTCCAGCTTCTTGCTTTTCAAAATTTTCTCCCAAGGCTCCTTTGCCAAAGCTTCAAGGCCACAACCTCTACCGAAGCTCAGCCCCACAGAGCTCAGTCCCGGCCTCCTTGCTGAAAACCCAAGTACCCAGCTACCTATGGTTCTGTAGACTCACTCAGCTACCAAGTGTTGACGCAACTTCTAGCTTGCCAACTTGGGGGACTAGGGAATGCCCTACGGCTCCCACTGAACCTGGAATGCTCGGTCATGATTACACCAAGATCTAACAAGTTCCTAACCCAAAAGTCACTTCTTGACCGCGAACTTGGGGGACTACTATTTACACCATAATCAACCGAGCATATCCAACCTCAAAACAACTAGCAGCAAGGCAGACACACCTTCTCCGCTGCCGAAGAAAGACACTCTTCCGAGGTGCCAAGCACCTTCCGAAGCTCCCGACTGTTGAAGGTCCTAATTGCCAAACCTAATCTCCATGACACGTGTCACCACCACGGCGACTTGCACAAAGTCCCACATCGAAAATCTACACAAACCTCCCACTTTCACTTCCCTATAAATAGGGAACAATACCCTAGTAAAAAAGGTAACTACTTTCTTATCTTTTGCTATTACTCTACTAAAGTTATTACTCTTAGCTGACTTAAGCATCGGAGAGCGTTCGGCCAGCACCACACCGGTGTCCAAAGCTTAACGATTGCTTCTCCTACTTTGTCTTTTGCAGGCTCGACCCTTACAGAAGGTCCTCACCTTCTCCACTGTTGAAGGCAAACCCCTTTTTCCCTAAGTTAACCCTCTCTGAAAAAGAGCATCAACAATTGTTTAAAATCACTAGGAGCTTAACTAATAACTACATAAAATAAAAATCCAACAAATCAAGTAATTACAATGAAACAAGTTTTTTATTGCAGGTTTGGCTGTTGGTGGATTTTCCGTGATGGTAATCATTCTTTGTATATGCATATTGTGGAAGCAAAAAATGGTCTTATTCGTCAAGAAAGATAAGAGGGATGAGTTTGATGTTAAGGCATTTATAAGGAACTATGGATCGCTTACTCCAAAGCGGTATACCTATGCAAATGTCAAGAAAATGACAGACTCTTTCATAGACAAACTAGGTAAAAGTGGATATGGAATTGTGTACAAAGGCAGGCTACCTGATGGGCTTCTGGTGGCGGTCAAAGTCCTAAGCGAGTCCAAGGGTAATGGAGAAGACTTTGTTAATGAAGTTGCTAGCATTGGTAGAACCTCCCATGTCAACATAGTCACTCTTTCTGGATTCTGTTATGAGGAGGACAAACGAGCTTTGATTTATGAATACATGCCTAATGGATCTCTGGATAATTTCATACATAAGTACAGATCTAGAATGGCAAATTTTCTCTTAGAATGGAAAACACTATCTGAAATTGCAGTTGGTATTGCGTGAGGACTAGAATACCTACACCGTGGATGTAACACAAGTTGGAGAGGAGGTTTCTTGCTTGGCAGATCAATCATTTGATTAGAAGTCAGAAGCGCAAAAAAATTCACACAATCTTTCCATCCAAGCCATCAAGTGGCTTGGTGGTGGCACACCTACGCATCTCAAGAGAAGAAGGACCAAAACATCATTCCTTTGGCCTACTTGGCCAAAAAGAGGGAAACACGTAGACTTCAATTTATGTCCTCTATTGGAAGTATTCGTGTCCTTTAATCCTGATTTGAAACCAAATTAAATAAAAAATTCAAAGTTACCCATACAGAAATTCAGAAATTGCAAGAGGAGAAGTGCAAATTCTATAATTTGAATTGTTGAAGTAATATTTGTAGTGGACCCCATAAGTTTTCAATTAGAATTCGTGAAAGATAACAATAATTGTACAGTTGTGATGAATCAGTGGTGGAAGTGTGGGCTTAACATTGCTGGGGCCTTCCCTTCTTTCTCTTTCTGAAATTAGTGTGAAGCAGAGGTTTCGAGCCTGACCCTTGACAATTCCACGTTTCCTGGCCCAAAAAACATACTTCATTTTCTGAATAGACGCGCTTTAGTGGCATCAAAATTTCCATTGACTGGCACTTCTATCAAACAACAGACTATTACGACCTGTGAATCACGACCTGTTTGGGGGTTTCGAATTCTTCTATGCCCCAAATAACACGACTCATTCCTTAATCACGATCTGTCAATTTCCTAGTTGTATTCCTGTGCTTCCCTTTTTCTATTTTTAAACTTGTATTGGTTTGTCACTTACCCTGAGCCTTCCCAGCAAATATGCATACCCTTCTGCTTCAATCGTTGTTTCCCTTGCTCTTGATCACTTCCTTTCTTTCGATCAACGTTGAGTTAAGTCTATGCCAGGACAATGAACAATATACAAACTGCAGCGAAGCTATTAACTGCGGTGGCATCGGAGGCATCTCATACCCCTTTTGGGGAGTAAACCGGGCTAATTACTGTGGTCTGCCGGGGTTCGAGGTCAAATGCCTAGAGAATGCCCCCATGATCAACATGTCGAATGTCAACTACAGAATTCTTAAAACGGACTCTAGTGCTCCCTCTGTTACAGTTGCTAGGCAGGACTATTGGGGAACTCTCTGTCCTCCGACTTACGTCAACACCAGCATCAACTTCTCTCTGTTTAATTATCCTTCTGGGCTTACAAACCTGACATTTTACTACGCGTGCAATTCAACTGTCCCGGGGCTGGAGGTTAACTTTACTTCCCAAGTTTGCAGTACGAACAACGGTGACATTGCTGTTTGGTCTTTCACCCGGAGTCTCCCAGTTGATGTAGCTGCTCTTGCTACCCGCGCCTGTACAGCTGGGGTCAGTGTTCCGGTTTTTACTACAGCTGCCCTGGCTCTAGAGGCCAATCGAACAACTATCCAGGAAGTCGTAGATGAGGGCTTTGAATTGGGATTGGAGATTGATAATGTTGAATGCAACAGTTGTGTGCAATCAGGAGGGAAGTGTGGGCATAACGCTACTGGTGGATTCAGTTGCTTTTGCCTGGATCAGGCCTATGCAGCCGTATGTAATGCAACTGCACCGGGAGCACAAGGTACGTCTGTCCCTTGTCATTCTCTTATAATTACAGAATTGAATTCCAGGATTGGTGGCATCCACGGTTTTTTATTACATCCTAGACAGCTACCTAGGTGTGTGTTATTAGGCTCGTCTGTTAAAAACCTGGTTATCGGGAATTGTGTGCAGAAACAAAAAACAGAAACTACTGAACTTGACGTATACAAGAAAAGAGATCATGTTGCTACGAATTTCAGAAATTGAACATTTTGGATAGAAAATTTTGTAAAACTTTTAAACCCTTAAGAGTGTTCATGTTTTGATCATTTTGATCCTTTGGCACATGCATCGAATTGGAAATCTTGATGGTGCCAGTCAACACTTTTTGTGGCTCACTTGACTTTTTTAAATTAGTGACTTCACATATTCTTAAACACTTTCATAGATTTTTTGTTATAAATAATTAGCTTTATAAAAGTATACAAAACTCATTAATTTAATTTAAAAGTTATTAACTTCATGTATGCATGCTCCTTGTTACTCCTTTATTAAAAAAAATCAATTAATTAATTGGGAAGATGACTTTGAAAATTTTTAAGTCCTTTATTTCCAGCATTGGTAGCTCTACATTTTCTTATTACGCATCCTACCTACTGAGGTCTTTGTTCAAGTTGATAAACTTCATTTTCTTCAGAGACGCTTTTGTGGTTACCAAAATTTTCATTGACCTAAGTCTTTTTCTTGAAGTATTGAGCATAAAAAAACTAATAAGTCTTTTTCTTGAAGTATTGAGCATAAAAAAACTAACCAGTGACAAAAAATTGACTCGATTGAGTAAAATTAGCGACACAATGACCAAATTTAAGGCAAATAAGCAGTGACGAAAAAGGTAGTTTTTGTTGATGTAATCTACCAAATATCTTTGTTGCAATTGAGGTAGTCTTTTTTTAACAATTGATTAACATTTCTCTATCGCAATGGCTGTTTCAGGAAAAAAGAAGGATATCGCAATGGGTAATATTTCACTTCTTTAAAACAGTATTTATACTAGTAACTGCTTCGTTACTTGTTTTCGTTGTAGTTCTTGATTGACTGTTAAAATGGTAGCCCTCCAAAGTGGTTTTAGAACTTAAATGACTGTTTAAAATGACTAGGAGCTTAACTAATAACTACATAAAATAAAATTCCAACAAATGAAGTATTTTGTTGCAGGTTTGGCTACTGGATTTTACGTGATGGTAATCATTCTTTGTAGTATATGCATATGGTGGAAGCGAAATGTCCGAAAATCGCTCCCGCACATATCAAGCGAAAGAATGGTCTCATTCGTCCAGAAAGATAAGAGGGATGAGTTTGATGTTGAGGCATTTATAAGGAACTATGGATCGCTTACTCCAAAGCGGTATACCTATGAAAATGTCAAGAAAATGACAGACTCTTTCAGAGACAAAATAGGTAAAGGTGGATATGGAACTGTGTACAAAGGCAGGCTACCTGATGGGCTTCTGGTGGCGGTCAAAGTCCTAAGCGAGTCCAAGGAGAAGACTTTATTAATGAAGTTGCTAGCATTGGTAGAACCTCCCATGTCAACATAGTCACTCTTTCTGGATTCTGTTATGAGGGGGACAATCGAGCTTTGATTTATGAATACATGCCTAATGGATCTCTGGATAATTTCATACATAAGCACGGGTCTGGAATGGCAAATTTTCTCTTAGAATGGAAAACACTATCTGAAATTGCAGTTGGTATTGCGCGAGGACTAGAATACCTACACCGTGGATGTAACACAAGAATTTTGCATTTTGACATAAAACCACAGAACATTCTTCTCGACAAAGATTTTCGCCCAAAAATCTCTGATTTTGGCCTTGCCAAATTATGTAAAACGAAGGACAGTATTGTATCGATGACTGGGGCAAGAGGAACTGCAGGATACATTGCACCAGAAGTGTTTAGCCGGAACTTTGGTGGAGTATCTCACAAATCTGATGTTTACAGCTACGGTATGTTGGTTCTTGAAATGGTTGGAGCAAAAAATAATTTGGATTTGGGAGTGTCTCATACGAGTGAAATATTTCCACATCATGTTTATAAAGATCTAGAGCTAGAAAAGGATGAAAATGTATTTGGGGCAATCACAGAGGAGGAAAAAGAAATAGCAAGAAAGATGGTATTAATAAGTTTGTGGTGCATTCAGACCATTCCTTCTGATCGGCCATCAATGAGCAAAGTTGTAGAGATGTTGGAAGGACCCCTTCATTCCTTGCGAATTGCACCCAAACCTTTCTTGTTTTCTCCTACAATAGCTGCAGAAGACTGTATGACTACAACCAGTGGCGGATCCACCATGAGGTCAATAGCTGCAGAGGACTGTATGACTACAACCAGTGGCGGATCCACCATGGGGCCAATGGTGTCAGACGGCCCCATGGCAGCCCTGGAAATGGCTTTGAGGTCCCATGTTGGCCTTGGCAGCCATGGGAGACGACCCCACATGGAGAAGAAGACATGCAAGCTGTGAGGGAGAAGATAGAGGGAGGAAGAAAAGAAAGGGAAAGAGAGGGAGGAAGAAGAAGAAGACAATGATTGAGAGGCAGAAGAAAGAGAGAAGAAGAAGGGAGAGAGAGAGGGAAGAAGAAGAAGAAGACTGTTATTGAGAGGGAGAAGAAAGAAGGCACTGCGCAAACACAAATAATAATAAAAAGGAAGAAATCTGTTAGGTTGTTTTAAAATATTGTTATAATTATGTTGGGTAGGCCTCTGAATTGAAAAGAATCTTTTGGTCTGTAAAAAAGTTGGTTTGGATAAAATGAAACAGTTATCATTATCTGAAAACTGAAAGAACGATGACTTGGCATTACAATATGTTGAGATTTCAATCAGAACTTGCACACACAATGTATCAGCTCACACAAAACCAGATGAATTGAAGAAAATAGAAAAATGCAGAGAAAGAATGGCTACACAGTAATGCTCAAAGGTTCGTCGCTATGCACAAAACATGGCAGTGCACAGTGCTCTCATTTCTAACAGAACATTCCTTTTACAATGCTGAGAATGTGATCTCCGCCTTACAATTGATCCAGCAATGTAAGCTGGACACTTGTCTTAAATTTGAGTCATATAAGTTTCATCCAACCAAAATATTACATCTGTAAAATAAAACTTAAACTAGCAGGAATTTATAATTCAACACAATATTGATAGAAAAAACAAATATACATAGAACAATACCTTTATCGGGATTGTTGGTAATTTTTAACAACAATATTAAACCTTGCAAGTGCACAAATCAAATGATAGTGTAGTAAGCAAGTAAGGGTCGATCTCACATAGATTGTGATCTAAAGAGATGTTTATCAATGTCACACAATGAAAACTTACACAATTAAACACGAAAACAAAATAAAGATTGAAACCACAATGACTTCCACACACACGCCAACATCAAGGGGGTTTTGATTTAATTTTGTAAATAAAACAAACACGGGAAAGAAAACAAAACAGAATTTAAATTAGAGTTTAAGAGAAATTGGTTTAAAATCAGTCAAGAACAATAGCAAGGACTCACTATCCACCTCCAAACAATCAATCAATCCATAAACAACAGTAGATAATCAATTTCTAGCAAGCATATGATGACGACACTCACAACAAGATCATGGCATTTGACTCAATGTATGATTCCCTCTTAAGTGTATGTAAAGTGTATGAAATTTACATCAATACGTGTATTCTTAATTGAAATCTAGTATGACATTTCCTCAAATTAACAATCAAGAATCCATTAAGATCAAAAAGAATATGAGTGTCACAAAAACCCTAAAACATGGCATTTGTTATTAGGAATTCAAGAATCAATTTCTCATAACTAGTTCTTAACCCAATTATTCGTTGCAAACAAGAACACATTCAATATGGCAATTGACTTATGTTCTACAACAATTTAATTCCAATACATGCTTCCAAATTAGCTACTCAAAGAAACAAAATATCAGAATTCACATAACATAGATAAATCGAAATCATCACGCTTACAGAAACTGAAAATCTATTCAAACTTGTTTATAAAATTGAAATCATGTTTAGGGCTTTAAGATTAAGCCCTAACTAACGAGAAATCAGTTACTCATGTTCTTGGTTGAACTCAAAAATAAATACATAAGAACTGATGAAAATTAAAATAAGGAAGGAAAAGAAAGAACTTGTCGGTAGCTTTCTCCTCTTGTGCGGTTAATCTCCTTAGGACGTGAATTCTTCGTCGGGGGCCCTTGGATGGCCTTTTATATCACTTATATCAGAGTTCTAAACCCTAAGATTGACTGAAAAGTCGTCCAAAAAGTCTTGGTAAACAAGGTATCCAAATAGGAAAGTAAAAATCACAATTCCTAACTCCATAAAGAAATACAGCTCAGCCCAATTGTCACATGATTTGGGGATCTTTGGCCTTCTAGAAAAATTATTAAAAATATATTTTAGAAAGATAAATGTCTTATCTTTCAAACCATATATAGCTTAAAAAATTCGGGAAGGCTTCCGTTTCTTCACATTCACGTAACATGTACGAAACTGTCTTGTCTGCACGTGAGCTAACTTTACTTGTAATACTGTACCAATTGGCTCCGTAGAAAATTCTAGAAAAATCACAGATTGAACTTTAAGATGTTAGCTTTCATCTCCAATTGGCCTTGCGCTAAAATTCCTCAGAAAAGTTGATTTTTCCTTAAAAACCTTTTAATAGGTCAGAAAAGCTGAAAATCAGAAAAGTAAAGTAATAAACCCATTTTAAATCTTATTCTCCTACAAAACCTAAGTAAAAAGAGTACATAATAAATGAGTATATTTATGGACTTATCAGGGACCTCTTCCCTAATTGTAATGCCTGTGTTTCACGGACTTATCAGGGACCTCTTCCCTAATTGTAATGCCTGTGTTTCACGGACTTATCAGGGACCTCTTCCCTAATTGTAATGCCTGTGTTTCACGGACTTATCAGGGACCTCTTCCCTAATTGTAATGCCTGTGTTTCACCTCTTCTTTGTCCCCTAGATCACTCCGACTTTTGTCTAAAAAAAGATGTAGTCCCTTGTACTTCAACCTCTGACAGATTATCAATACCAATCTTTACAGAATATCAATACATATCTTTACCGATTATCAATTCCCAAGGGTAATTTTATTGTTTATAGTAACTATCTCATTTATTAATGCATAGACAATTGTCTAATAGAGGGATACGAAAGAGAGACTAATCTAATGAAGTTAGATTCATATCAGACATTTCTCTTCTATAAAATTAAGTATTCATGGTTATAGGCTACATAGCCCTATATAGTAAGGCAAATTAGTTCATGACAAAAGAGAAGATAAACAAAATAATTGTTGTCCTAAAACTGATTTGGCAGATGGATTTGATCTCTGATTTTCCACAGCAACACCTTCGTAAGTTCCAAAAGCACCATGGCAACAACTTGTGACTCTCTCTCTCTCTTATATATTTGTGGGTGTATTGAAATATGTTGGAAAAGTATATGGTATCAAGATGGTCCATAGAGAGAGCTTAGGGTGACCTTATATAGTTTAAAAAAACTAAACCCTACTCTAAAAAGGTCTGGAAAAACTCTCCAAAACAAAACAAAATCCCAAACAATTAAGGAAACAAACTAAGAAAGAATCATTCTTTGTCTTGGAAGCACATCAGCCAACTGGCATGCATATTTTTGGGTCTTTCCATTTCCTAGAAAATTCTACAAAAATATGAGAACTTTAGCTTGATCTCTAAGCTTTCCAAGCATATATCACATGCCACTAGAAAAAATCGGAAATTTCTTCAAATCTTCAACCTTCCACAGTAGTGCAATTTTGACGGGATTTCAACTTAGGTTGTGTTGAGTTGCTAGTCTTGAGCATTTGGCTTGGTAGAAAATTATGAAACTTTGACACAATGATCCTTAATGTCTTAGATTTCTTCTCCTCCAATTGGCTTTGTGCTAAAATTCATTCGAAAAGTCGATTTTCAGTCAAAACCCTTCCAAGAGCGTATAATAGCTTAAAATAAGGAAAGTAAAGTAATATAATGCTATTTTTAATTAACTTTCCCTACAAAAACCAAATATAACTAAATATAAGAGATATACAAATATAGGAAATAATGCACTTATCATTCACTAGAGTTTTAAATTGAAGTACTTCAATTTAGGATTATCAATTGTTGAATCTTGGGAGATAGACGCTTATAGAACTGTGAGCAGAAGAGTAGGGGTGAAATCTGTCTTTAGGACATTGCAATTCTTACAAGCCACAATCGCTAAAGTTGTCAGTATTTTCTATTTGTGTTTGTTAATTTACATTAAATTCATGTAAATTTGTTATTGTATTTGATAATTACAATTTTATTGAGAAATATTATTATCTTTAAATTCATATTTCCTATTTTCCTCCAACAATTTCTTCACGGTAGACAACTTGTTATTTACCTTCATGCTGCTAATGAATATAAATTGCAAGCTTTTGTCCCATTAGAGAGCCCCACGCGGATGCTCTAATGAATAGAACTCGTCAAATAAAACTGGGAAGATTTCATACGTTTATAACCACATAAAAAGAACAGACACGACCGTCAGTCCAAGACCACAAGTCAAGTTGTAGTTCATCAACGCGTTCATCAAACCTGTATTTAATCTCTATTGGCATTTACCAGCAAGCCCACAACACTCCCACCCCCGTCCAAAATGCACCCAATCTTCCTCCTTCTCCTCTTCTTCTTCTACTCCGTGGACGCCACGACACCGTTTTCGTCTAAGGAAATACAGCCTGAGGAAACCCCTTCCGTCTGCTCCCAGACTTTCGCCTGTGGCCCACTCCAAGGCCTCTCATACCCGTTCACCGGCGGGGCACGCCCTGCCCACTGTGGTCCACCGGAGTTCCACATCAGCTGCGTGGACGACTCGCCCGAGCTGACCATCATGTCGCTGAGGTACCGAGTTCTCGAACTCGACCCAGTTCACAAAAATCTAAGGTTAGTCCGCTCAGACCTCTGGAACTCGACATGCACAGACAAACTCGCCAACGTAACTATCAAATCCGAGTTCTTCGCCCACAATGAGAACGACGACATGGAGGTGTCCATTTTCTACGGCTGTAATTCCTCTACCATTACCCCCAAGCCCGAGAATTGGTTTCACTGCAACGTCAATCTGCCTTTCAACGACTCTTATTACTTGATCGGGACGGTCCCGATCGATCAGATTATGAGCGGTGTCAAGTGTAAGATTGAAACTACAGTGCCGATTCTCAAGACCGCGGCTGCGAAGCTCGTTGCCAATAGGTCGCTGTTTCAGGAAGCGATCATGGAAGGCTTTAATGTTAACTATACCCACCCTTATGATGATGAATGCGCTAAATGTGTTGATATAAATGGGGGCTGTGGGTTTGACTCCCATTCGAGCAAGCCCGTTTGCTTTTGTGGGGATCGGGTTTGTGTCATATCAATAGTATACGTACTTGAAGTTTAAATTTTTTCTTCATTTTATAATTTTTTTAGTACAAATAATAATTTTTTTTTTAATATACAAATAATAGTTTAAACTATAACGAGGAGAGGTTTTTTACACATGGCATTAAATTATAATGGAAGTTTGAACAGGACCATCAATGACAACTAACTAGGAATTGTTGACTTTATATTTTCTTTTTTTATTTCATGGGTACGATTTAGAAAGATAACAACAGTAAGTCGTCGTAAATTAGAAATTTCTGGAAATTTTTACGTAGTGTTTTGACTTTCTCTTCTTTTAGTTTTGCGAACCTACTTTGCTTTCCTCTTTGTCCCATTGTCAAATTAAAACGACAGGATTATTCTTATTGATTTTAAATTGATTAATGAATATTTTAATAAATTTATAGAGAAAAAAATGCCATGTTCTCAAATTTCGAACCTTTGGCAGCAAGTGACTAGATTTAGTGAAATTATCAACATGTAACTAAAAAATATCTGTTGGCAAGTTGAGAGGTTTTTCTGTCTTTTTTGAAAAAGTTTTGGTTTTTTCCAAAAGTGAAAAATTTTTTTTTTGGCTGAAACCTGAATTTACTTTATATATATTCATTTATTGATTAACATTTCTCTATCTTGTGATTGTTTCAGGAGAAAATATTGCGATAGGTAACTCTGCTTGGTTCCTTTGTTTCGTTCTAGCCCTTGATTCAGTAACTATTAAATGGTAGCCCTCTAAAATACATTTCAAAGTTACATGACTGCTTAAAATGACTAGGAGCTTAACTATCATCTAACTCACTACAATAAATTAAAGTTATACCCAATATAGAGATCCAAATTCTAAAAAACCCTATATGAAAATGAATCCAAAGCTTACTTACAACATAACAAAGAGGCTTTTAACTTCCTATAAATTACAAAACTGTCATCTATTTCTTAAAACAAGCCCAACCCTAAAACCTCATAATAAAAAAAGCCCAAATAACTCAATAGGGCATAAAAGTAATTTAATAATCAAAATTCAATTCAATAGAGTCAACTGTCAATTTTTGGGTTTCTTTATAGAGATTAATGGTGTAGGGTTTATCTATATCATTAATGCTAAGAATTGGTATATGACTAAATATCTCTAAATAAAAATGCAAGAAGAAAAGTGAAGTATAAAGAAACAAGTATTTTGTTCCAGGTTTAATTTCAGTATCACTTTATTCTATTGCTTTTATTTCTTTACAGTATTGAGATGCTTTTATGTCTTTCACAACTTAATGAAATGCATATAATAACTTGAAAATATTTTTGAATTTATAGGGATTTTATCGGGTGTAACTTCCGCCATTGTTTTCATTGTTTGTATGGTATACGCATCAAAAAAAAGAAGTGCTTTTCTTGAAGAAATATAAGAAGAATGAGATTGACATCCAGGAAGTAATAACAAATAATGGATGGATGGCCCCAAAGCGGTATAGTTACTCCGATGTGAAGAAGATGACTCATTGGTTCAAAGATCAAATAGGTAAAGGAGGATATGGCACAGTATACAGAGGAAAGCTACCTGATGGCCTTCTGGTGGCAGTTAAAGTCCTAAGTGAGTCCAAGGGTAATGGAGAAGACTTCATTAATGAAGTTGCTAGCATTGGTAGAACTTCCCATGTCAACATAGTCACTCTTTGTGGATTCTGTTACGAGAGGGACAAAAGAGCTTTGATTTATGAATTCATGCCTAATGGATCTCTGGATAATTTCATACGTAAGCAAGGATCTGAAATGGCAAATTCTCGCTTAGAATGGAAAAAACTATCTGAAATTGCAGTCGGCATTGCCCGAGGACTAGAATACTTACACCGTGGATGTAATGCAAGAATTGTGCATTTTGACATAAAGCCACAGAACATTCTTTTGGACAAAGATTTTTGCCCAAAAGTAGCTGATTTTGGCCTTGCCAAATTGTGCAAAAAGGAGAGTATCGTATCGATGTTTGGGACAAGGGGAACTGCAGGATACATCGCACCAGAAGTATTTAGCTGGAACTTTGGAGGCGTATCTCACAAATGTGATGTTTACAGCTACGGGATGTTGGTTCTTGAAATGGTTGGAGCAAGAAAGAATTTGGATTTGGCAGTGTCTCATACGAGTGAAATGTTTCCGCATTACATTTATAAAGATCTAGAGCTAGACAAGGATGAGAATGTTTTTGGGGCAACCACAGAGGAGGAAAAAGAAATAGCAAGAAAGATGGTATTAATAAGTCTCTGGTGCATTCAGACCAATCCGTCTGATCGGCCATCAATGAGCAAAGTTGTAGAGATGCTGGAAGGACCCCTTCATTCCTTGCAAATTGCACCAAAGCCTTTGTTGGTTTCTCCTACAATAGCTGCAGAAGACTCTATGACCACATCTCAACCATCTGAAACAGAAGACTCTATGACCACATCAAAGCCTTTGAGTGTAAGCTCAAGACATATCGGTATATAAGTGTTGATTTTCAATTTTAAGATGGAGAACATGTATAATCTTTTCATAATCCAAAAAAGAAAAACATGTAATATAAATCAGCATCATTATTATCATATTGTTTGAATAGTGCATCTCTTCGAACTCGAAGATGAGTGAAATTGTAAGTGATAGTTTGTCTGAAGATGAGTAAAATATAAAACTCCAATTTTGAAGTTCAAAGCTTTTGTTAGGCTGCGAAAGTTGACCGCCATCCCAAGAATATTCTATGCTTAATCTTTCAAATGGTAAACTTGGTGTTCATAGCTCAAATCTTTTTCAACGTTTGGTTCCAACCAGTAGTTCTGTCTTCTGAATGCGTTGCTCTGTTTCAGAATGAGAAGAAAACAAGAACAAAGATTATATAGTGTGCTAAGTTACCTGTGTGTCAAAAGTTCAAGAATAGCAAGAAAAGGAAACGAAAATTCTTCCCACATACGTGTCTGATCTAACAACTGTAGACAAATACCTATATTTGGGCTTGTCAGATTCCTATATCTTTCTCGCCCGGCAATTCGCATCTCCATGACTTCAGACTAAAGACTATAGTTGGTCTCATTCCACATGATTTCAGCAGGCAACCCAAAATTGTCATTCTGAATGGTGTGGAGTTGCAAGCAGTTAAGGTAGGGGTTTCAATTGGATTTGACATTGTAGCGGAATTTGTTTGTGGGATATATATGCTTTGGGAATACAGGTAAACTATGATGTTTGAATTTGATTTGGGTTTTGGTATGAGGATAAATTCAGAGTTTGAAAACAATTTGAGGAAAAAGAAAACAGATTTAGAGATGACTTGAGATCGGTAGCTCTAATACCGTGCTAAAATATTTGGGGAAATTTCTCAATAATTCATTCATCTCTATAAAGAGGTATATATGGTTACATATGTGTGTATAGCAATGTATGTAAATAAAACTTTATTATACAATAATAAGTCAATTATACAAATAAGAAGCAAATCCCTTCATTTCAATATGCCGCTCATGTTGACTTCAGTTGAAAGCCTGACCAATTTCCTGGTAATTCCATGTTACGAAGAAAAAGAAACATTTCTGGAGTATTAAACATAAAAAAAAAACTTTCTTGCACGTTTATTAAACAACAGATAAGTCTTATTTTACTCACCAATCAATAAGTCGACGTTGACTCTAACGTGCACCGTGAGACCTTGATGAACATAATTGCTTCATCTTTTCCTTTATCATACCTCTCTCTCTTTCTCTCTCTCTCTCTCTCTCTGAAAATGAATCTCTATCCCTTCCAAAAGATCTCTTTTCTCCTTGTGATCACAAGTACTATATGCCTATTGTATATTCCAAGATCTTTGGGTGCGGAGGATGATGAGCAATACCTCAACTGCAGCGCTTCGTTTCAATGCGCAAATATTCCGAATATTGGTTACCCTTTTTGGGGATCAAGCCGGCCCAATTATTGTGGCTTCCCGGAATTCAAGTTGAACTGCACCGGGGAAGCCCCGGTGATCTCATTCCAGGACAAAGATTATCGAGTCCTGGACATCAACCAAAGTGCAAGTACTCTCAGAATCGCTAGGACAGACTACTGGAACAACGTTTGTCCTGTGTCACCTGGCAACACCACAATAGAATTAAACCATGTAGAATACGCTTCAGATGTTCAAGAACTACTGCTGTTCTATGACTGCCCCCCACTCAATATTCCTCTTCCAATTCAGCTAACAAGTCAGTTCAACTGCAGCATAAACAGCACTGCCAATTACATCAATTACATGGTCACACAAAACCTCACGAATTCTGGGCTCACGAATATTAGTAGTACCTTTGGAACGTGCAACAAGACCGTCACTGCCCTCGTTTCGCAATCAGCGCGTGAAAATTTGGCGATGAATTCCACCAAGGACAATCTAGTTGCTGTTCTTGATTCTGGGTTTGGGTTGAAATGGGATGCAAGTAATAACTTGTGTAAGCAATGTAACGGAACTGGTGGTCAGTGCGGGTACAATACATCTGCACCTGAGTTCACCTGCTATTGCAAGGATGGACCTAATCCCTCAAACTGTGCAGGTATGCATGCGCTTGTAATCTTTTTGGTCTTAATTCCTTGTCTTTGGGGCTTTTTATCAAACACCTACATGTCACATGTGGGTCGTTTAGAATCTTTATGCTACTTTCAATCCCTTCACCATGGCAAACTCTCCTACTTAGCAACCAATGCCAAAGGGCTTTGGCTCAGGTTAGAGAGTTATATAGAAATCTAGCGTTTAGGCTAACTACTTGATTCCTCTATGTTTTCTTTTAGTATATAGTTTGGTCTAGAAACAAGTGAGGGGCCAAAGCAAGATTGGGTTTTTGAGTTGGGTCTCAGAAGAAGATGAAGTTAGTTTTGATGGACAAATAGAATTTTCTTAGATGGGTGCAAGATTTGTGCCAGATTGAGTCCTTTTGCAGCTCCTGCTGCATCTTCTGGTACAAATTCAGAGACATTAGTGCAGAGTATGCAAACATAATACCAATTGTTCCATAAGGCACTATCGGAGTCCAAGCAATCACCAATATTATCCCCTCCTTAATTATTAGGTCTAATACATCGGGTGAAATAAGACTGGCCCGATAAACTCATTTAGGAGTGAGGTTTCAACTCAAAAGGCATCAATGTATTTAATACCAAACCACACCTATAGCTTGTGTGGAGCTACACAATTCCAATATTATAGATTTAAATGATTCTTTGTTAAACTTCTTCACCTTAGACCTCTACATCCCGTCTGGTCATTGGAACTAAACACAACTAATAATTCTATTAAAAATGATTAAGTGTGTCGTCTCATATTTAGAGAACTTAACAACATAGACAAATGTCCAACATTCAATTGGAGCACAACTCTACGGGACTAGATTTTACAACCTTGTCCCAATCACTAAACGTGGCCTTATTGTTCTGCTCAATTCTCTATCCTAAAGTTCAGTAATGTCAAATTATGTGTTCCTGCTTGCAATTCTCTCTTATAATTATACTGTGGTCTGAACTATGTGCTCTCCTAAACTTTCACCTATACCGAACATTTTCTTACTCCTACTCCAATTCCATCCAAATTCCTTTCACATAGCCATGGAAAACCCGTGCGGCATTTCATTGGAAACTTCAAGTTGGGTTCTTCTGGTCTTTTCTTGCCAAAACAAAACCAAACGATTCATACCACGTGTTATGCTTCATATGTTCTGACTTCTGAGTTGTCTAGGCTGCTATGACATTTACTAGAATGACCTTATCTGAATTTAGAAACTCGTATGAATTTGTTTAGCTTTTGGACCAGTCACAACTCACAGAAAATTCCCTAGGTACAAGTCGAAGAAATTAATTTCCGTGTTGATGTTTGTTGAATGAAATCACACAGGCATGCATGTTTCATACATTAAACTATTAGAAGGTAGTTGGTCCATTTAATGAATTCATTCTTTCATAATATACCTTAATAAAACAAGCTTTCATTTCATTGCAGGGACTGAAAAATGTCTTATTCCACTTGCATATGCAATTTAAAATAATATGCTTTCATGAATACTTCGTAAATAATTCATGTATTGAAAAGGAGACTGATTTTCCCACTTTCCTTTTCTCCACTTGCACTCTCTTTTGTTTTTTAATACTTTTTAATTAATTTTGTTTTGTTTTCATTACTCTATCCTTACCATACATTACGAAAGTTAAATAATAAATCAAAAAATCAAAAATGAAAAGGAAAAAAAAAAATCTCTCCCTCTCTTGCCTCCTAGCCTCCTCCAGCCCGACTGCTTCCTCCAAGGCGCCACCAACTCAGCCACCCAGCCATCCTAACCATCAACCAAGCCACCCAAACTCGACATCAATTCACCCCCACCCACACCCACCTTCCCAGACCCCCAATCTTGCAACCAAACTAGTGCGATCCCAGCCCCACTCCCCAATCTGAAAGTGAGAGAGGGAGTCTCCAATAGCTCGTCGGTGTTGAAGGCCAGATCTGATGAGGTCGGGGTTTAGAGTGACATGCTGGGTTTTGGGTTGGATATGGTATTGCGGCGTCGTATCAGGTGATGTGAAGGTGACGGTGGTGTTGCTGCTGGGTTTGCCGAAGGAGGAGGGGGTGGGTGTTTTGATAAGTTTTGGAGAGAGAGAGAGAGAGAGAGAGAGAGAGAGAGGTAAAGCCCAGGCACTGAACGATCAGGCCAGTGCAGCGGGGTTTTGGAGACTCTTCATTTTAGTGTCGGGATTAATGGGTGGGCTTGGGTTTTTTTTTTTTTTTTTTTTGTTTTATTTAACTTTTCTTCATTTTAGTTATCGAAATCTTAATATAGGAGGGTATAGTAGGAAAAACAAAAAATAAAAAAGAATAAGATTGATTAAAAAGTATTAAAAAGTAAAAATGAGTGTAAGTGGAGAAAATGAGATTGAAAAAATCACTCCCCTTGGAAAATTGCTAGTTTGGTGTTCACACAGTTTGACTCTACCTTTGAAGTTGACCAGGAGTCTTGCTAAATCTAATAAATAAATAATAAATAATCATTTTAATTTCTTGAATTACTAAAATACCCATCAATTATTGGTCAGCAGCCTCCAAAATATTCAAGAGCTGTGTGCAGTGTTCAATGTCCACCCACAACAGTCCAAGTCAACCAACGCCGGCCATATGATCAAACCAAAACCATTGCATTTCATCACTCAACTCTCTAAGCCACTTCCCGCCTCGCCCACCCCACATCCAAACGCCGTCGTTTTCCCGCCCCTTCCCCAATGCACCCACTCTTCCTCCTCTTGTTCTTCTACTCCTTCGAGGTTACGAAGTCGTTTCCCTCGAATGCAAACCTCTCCAACTGCTCCCAAGCCTTCGACTGTCACTGCCCGCGTTTCGCAATCAGCAGGTGCGAATTTGGTGATGAATTCGACGAAGGACAATCTAGTTGCTGTTCTTGATTCTGGGTTTGGTTTGACATGGGATGCAAGTAATAACTTGTGTAAGCAATGTCACAGATCTAGTGGTGAGTGCGGGTAAAATACAACTACAGCTGAGTTTGACCTAATCCCTCAAACTGTGCAGGTATGCATAGATATCTTTTTGGTCTTAATCCCTCTAACTGTCGAGGTATATGTCTAATTATGTTTTTAGACAACAGGTCACTGGAATGCCTAAGAATCTTAGATATTGTGGCTAACTTTAGTTCTGTCCTATGTTAATCTTTTCCATTGAAAGAGAGTGATTACTTTGATCGCCAACCAAAAGTACAGGCATAGCTTTGTCATGCCTAAGAATCTTAGTATAGAGGACAATGAGCGTG